CAACGTCATGAACCACATCCTCAGCGCCAGGAACCACTTCCTCAACGCCAGGAAGACTCCAACCATGGCTACTGAGAGAGTTTGCAGAAATACTGGCCTATCCAATTTGCCAAATTATAAATAATTCATTTCAACAAGGAAAATTACCACTAGGTTGGAAACAGTCAAACATCTCTCCCATTCCCAAAGCAAGTCAAATTACAGATATTAATAAACACCTTCGCCCAATATCACTAACGCCAATAATTTCGAAGGTGGCTGAGGATTTTGTTATTGAGAGGCAATTTAAACCGGCCGTTTTGGAAATAATTGACAAAAATCAATATGGGGTAGTACCAAGATCTTCAACTACAATGCCTTTAATATCTATGATGCACCACTGGTTACAAGCCACTGACCAACCTGGAAATCTAGTTCGCACAATCCTGTTTGATTTCAGAAAGGAATTTGATCTTATAGACCATAAACGACTCTCTGGCAAAATTAAACAACTTAACCTCCCCGCTCCCACAACAAATTGGATCTTGGATTTTCTTACTGGCCGTAAACAGCGGGTAAAATTAACGAGCAACTGTTTTTCCCAATGGAGAGAAATTCGCGCAGGTGTCCCCCAGGGTACCAAACTTGGACCCTGGTTATATGTTCTAATGATAAATGACCTGACAACATCTCATAGCGATCCTTGGAAATTTGTCGATGACACAACTATTTCGGAAATTCTTAAAAAAGGTCAGCGTAGTGTAATTCAGTTGGGAGTTAATGAGGTTCAAAACTGGACTGAAACCAACCTGGCCCAACTAAATGAAGACAAATGCAAAGAGCTTAGGATTGATTTTTCTCGGAATAGTAACACCAGTAACACGCTTGTCCCGATATTAGTCAACGGCAAAGAACTTGAAATAGTGAATAATGCTAAAATCCTTGGGCTTACGATTAGCAGTGATCTAAAATGGAGAGTACACGTAGAGACAATCGTTTCTAAAGCCACCAAGAGATTATATCTGATAACACAACTTAAACGAGCAAAGGTCCCGATTGAAGATATTATACTAATTTACTGCGCATGTATCCGGTCGATCTTGGAATACGAATCACCAGTGTTCCATAACTCGTTGCCGAAATATCTAAATAACGAGATTGAGAGGGAACAAAAGCGTTTCCTGAGAAGAATATATCCGAACCTCTCTTATGAGGACGCTATTAAAACCTCGAAGTTAGATTTATTGTTTGATCGTAGAACAGCTGCTTGCCTCAAACTTTTTGAAGAGGCCCAAATGACAGATCATAAATTACATTCACTAGTTCCGGAGAAAAAAGTTTGTTCGTATTCCCTAAGACAATGTAGCAAATTCCATCTACCTCGAATACGAACTGATCGGTATAAGAACTCATTCATAATCGCTAATAGTCTTCAACAGTAATTTTAAATTTTTTAAATTGTATTATAATCATATATCTAATCCAATTTTTATTACTTGTTATGTACATATTATTAGGTTATTTAGTCACTGTACATCGTATATAATTCAGTTGTTTTATTGTAACTGCAAATTACGATTATTAAAATCAATCAATCAATCAATCAATCAATCAGGAACCACGTCCTCAGCGCGAGGAACCACGTCCTCAGCGCCAGGAACCCGCGTCCTCGACAGGGACGTATCCAGACCTGGAAAAGGGGGGGGAGCCATGAGGCCAGGCTAAATGTATAGTAGTGGTTATATGTTTGCTGCAAAAAAGCTATATGCAGAGTTGGTGGCATTGTCGTATAGCCAAGAGGGGATTATTGGTTAGAAAGAGTTTGGATGGTTGTGGCAACTAGACGAGGACCAACTACAAATTTCCGAATTGTAGCTATCAAAAATAAGAATTGCATGCTATACTTTATTTAGCTTTTCGAGGGTTAGACAGTGAAACACAAAACACCATGTTTTGCCTATCCACAAGCCTATAGGCGTATTATAAAGAAAACTGAACCCAATTGTGTAAGACTTAATGTACTGCATGTAGACAGTAAATTTCAAATGTAATATAATGTAAGTTATGTTGTTATATAACCATACCCTGGGTGCCAGAGCCTCGGCTCTGGTCACACGAGCTTCCAGCCTCACTTTGGTGAGTTCAATATTTGAACTCTGTTTGTGATTGGTCTAAATTTATGTGAGCCTTTTCATTGATTAACCGATGAGCGTCGGTTAACCGATGAAAAGATTCACATAAATTTAGACCAATCACAAACAGAGTTCAAACATTGAACTCACCAAAGTGAGGCTGGATGCTCGTGTGACCAGAGCCTCCACGTCGTGTCTTCACCTCTATCACAGGAGGCTCTGGCCCTCAAGGTAATATAACCACTGAAGTCCGAGTAGATCGTAGATGTACATCGTGGCCAATGAATTCAAACGTCCTTCAGTTGTTCGATGACGCAAATATGTCTTGAGAAGCCGTAGAGACGAAAAACTGCGCTCAACGGTTGCTGTTGATATGGGCAAGATGCTAGCAATAGTTAAAAGGGCATAAATGGTTGGAAAAATATTGGGATCGCAAATGCTATGTGATCAGTTGATGAATCAGTTGAACTGGAAAATTCTCTCTTCCATTTAGCAACCCACAACGGGCACTGCACTAAGGCATTCATGCCACTAGTATCACGAGGCATAACATTGTTAGCATGAAGAAATTGTAAATAGTTTCCATAAACCTACATGAACTCTTCTTCCACTGCACCATACTTTGCACAGTTAGTTGGAAGCAGCGTATCAAACAACCCAGCAAACGTCGTTTTCTCATTAAATCGAAATCGCAAATGCTCAAGAATTGTATCCAAAAATGGGATATACACTGCTACGCGGAAATAATCAAGTCCGTGAGTAGAATCGTCAACATCTGAAACATCTTGGTTATCTCGACACACTGATCTTTGACAAACTCTTGGACACTCTACTTTGATTTTGAGGCATGTTATTGTGTCGAGAATCAATTTTACTTTAATTAATGTTGAAGTAAGTACATATATTTAGCTAATAAATATTTCCAAAGGGGGGGAGCCGCGGCTCCCACGACTCCCCCCCTGGCTACGTCCCCATTTCACGCGAACAAATATTGACCATTCACGGCTCACGAAAATACCCTTTCCCACCCTCTTGAAAGTACTTGTATCTTTCTTTACAAAAAGCCCGCATTCGGCATTCCTTCAGTAATCTGAAACTACGAGTTAGAGCGAGTACTCTATTGTAGCGGATCCGCTTTGTGCCATCTTGCCTGGTCAGCTAAAACATTTATACCTTTGAACGTTTGCTGGTCAACGAGACATCTAGGCGAAAAGTTAAAACACGCATGCGCATATTTTAATTCACCACAATAAACAGAAACGTTTTTGAACGATATATTGCAAACGTTTATATGCTCGTACTGTGTACAAAGTTTCGTTTTAAATACGGCCATAAGGCCTAGTAGAATTAATTTTGTGGCCCTTTTGGGGCCGTTAAGTAAACCAATGAGGTAGCCAAGATAATTGTACACATCTAACCACAGATCTAACCTGCGATCAGGCTCTATTTACAAATAATAGCCTGACACATCCTTAATCCGATCGCTTTCCACCCACAGCAAAGTTTATATTTAGTATCCAATCAAAATGTCGCATGCAGGAGAAATTTAAATTTCACACAACGACAACAACAATCTAATTATAGTTGTGATCATTATAAATATATCAACGACAATATAAAATTAATTAGCACCAACCAATCAAATGACAGATTAAAAAATCTTTTGTCTCAAAAACCAATCAGATTTACAACCGAAATACGGTTGTAAAAACATGGACTTTTGTTAAGATTTGTATCAGGCCTATTTATTTATTTATAGGCCTGATCGCAGGTTAGTTCACATCATGCATAGCTACGCTCACACGCTATGCGTTAAGGCCGTTTGCCATTAACGTTCGCTTTGCCCGAGCGGGCGAAGCATTCATTGTTTTTGGCGCCCGTCACGCCAGCCGTGAGCAGATTTTCAAAGCCCGCTCCGCCCGCGCGGGCAAAGCGACTGCAATGGAAACCGGCCTTAAGGTCCATCGGAGCGTCGCGATTTCGTAGTAGAGAGTTTACGATGTACGACGCGGTCAGCTCGACGACGTCGAGTCAAATTATGCTTGAAATAAGCAACAGCATGTTTTAATAATCTTACAAATGTTTATATTGGCCTAAACTACTCCGATGCTTAGCTGATGTTGCCAGAGGTGCCGGAAACACGGGTGAAGCGGGTGCAGGTGCACCCCTTGCCTTTTGCATTTTCAACTTTCTGGGTGCAGTGCGGGTGCAGAATACGGGTGCACGTGAAAAATTTTCATTAAAATTGCATTTTTTGCGCAATGGGCATTTTTGGAAAATTGAGTCTTTGGGGGGGAGGTCGCCAAAAAATATTTTTTTAGATGCCCTTTCATTTTCATTAGTGCCCTTTTGTTAAGGAATATGCCCTCTTGTTCACCAATTGAACCCCTTGCCCTCAGCAACTTCCGGCATCCCTGGATGTTGCCATTCCGTCAACGTTATAAAACAGCTCCCATATCGCAACGAGCTTTGATATCGCTAGAAAGCCATGAAAATTACTCGTTTGACGGTGTCCCAAGAATTATGGCAACGCTGTTGGCAAAATATTTGAATCTACAAATTATTCATCCCTTTTGTCTCGCATGACGTGTTTCTCAGTTTGTCTTGCAAGCGCGCCATCGAGCTGGCCGCGTCGTGAATCGTAAACTCTCTAGTAATCCAGGCGCGACGCGGCGTAAAAATCACTCCGCTTTGAAGGTGATATGAAAAGTAATTAATCCGGCATGTGCCGAAGCAGTGTAAGCAAGCCAATCCTGTACGCTTGGGTACAAAATCTGTTTTGGCGTGTACGTTTTAGTGGGTTTTACCATTGTCGCCTTTATTTTCTCGCTTTTACAATATTTTAGAGCTGTCGTTTGTTTCGCCTTCGCAGTCAGTAACAATGATCAGCAACAACAACAACAACAGCAACAACAACAACAACAACAACAACGACAACGACAACGACAACAACAACAACAACAACAACAACAACGACAACGACAACGACAAGGACAACGACAACAACAACAACAACAACAACAACAACAACAACAACAACAACAACAACAACAACAACAACAACAACAACAACAACAACAACAACAACAACAACAACAACAACAACAACAACAACAACAACAACAACAACAACAAAATGTTTAACAGAAACCCTTAGAGAAAATTGCCGGTACTGGAAAATATTCACTGTTATAAATCACGATTTCTTGACAAAATTTAGCCGTTAATTTTAGAATGAAGTTTAAAAGTTTGATCACTGTAAAGTGTCTCGTATTATGTTATCAATATACACTGCCTAAAGATCCTAAAGATCCTAAAATACGTTTAAAAGAATAAAAGTGTATCAATTTGTAGTTATCATGGGCGTATCGGGCGGGGGTGGAGGGGGCGGCAGCCCCCCCCCCCCAGTTTGTTGGGCAAACAAAGCCAGTCGGGCAATATTCGCTTTACAGTCGGGCAATATTGGCTTATTAGTATAATTACATGGGTGATTATTGAAAATTCTCCACGCTGATTGGTTGCCGATGAGGTGATTATTACGCGATAATCACCTAAGCGATTTTCAAAATGGCGGCCGAAACCTTTTTGACAATTAAATGACGAAGAAATGTGTATTTTGTTTTTTTTCCCAAATAATCACCTATGAAATTATACTAAAACAATTATTCACCTCAGGCTCGGTGATTATCGTGAATAAAAACCTCGACTTCGTCTCGGTTTTTATTCACCGATAATCACCTCGCCTTCGGCGAATAATTGTTAATTATAAAAATAAATGGGACAAATTCTGTCAATTTTGTGGGAAATTCTGTCAATTTTGTGGGATTTATGCTATCTAATATTCTACTAGGAATTTTTCGTAATCACTCCACTCCCCTCCCCGTCGACAACAATTTTGGAAAGTTTCTCCCGAAAATTTTTTTGTCAACGCGGCCACAATCCGAAAAAGTCGGGCAAATTTCTTTCCGCCCCTAATTTTTTCCTTCCCGTACGCCCATGGTAGTTATTCTGTGCATGATTGTATAATAGAAAGGTCCACATTTGACTTCCAGTACCGCTACTATTATGGGACCATTAACCAATCAGAAGAATTTGACCTATCCAATTAACCAATCAGATCAATTTGAACTACCCTATTAACCAATCAGATGCGCGCTAAGCCAGTGAAATGTAGTGGTAGCGGAAAAAAGGAAGTAAAATCTAACCCTTTCAGCTATAAGCTATTTTTCACTAGTCCACTGGATTACCCCCCGAAGTACTTTTCACTGGCAAGTCTACTTGTCAAGTAAAGCGATTTTTATTGGCTGGCTGACTAAATACAATCAGTTATAATTTGATATTTTCGGCAATTGTTGAGATTCATAATCTCCCTCATAATTAGCTCGATAATTAGCACATATCTAAAATCGGCATTCCTTCAGTAATCTGAAACTACGGGTTAGAGCGAGCACTCTATTGCATGTAGCAAATCTCTTTGCGCCATCTTGCCTGGTCAGCTGAAACATATATACCTTGGAACGTTTGCTGGTCAGCGAGACATCTAGGTGAAAAGTTAAAACACGCATGCGCATATTTTAATTCACCGTAATAAACAGAAACGTTTTTGAACGATATATTGCAAATGTTTATATGCTCGTACTGTGTATAAAAGCAGCGCAGTACAAATGTATAATTTTTGTGGCCTTGCGGCCAATCTCGTTCCCCGAGCATGCCCGTTCGCAGGTTAAGGGTGGGCATAGCTCTGGAGAAATCGAATTGATTCAGGCCTGTGATTGGCTAACGGCAGATAGTACGTTGGATTTCCAACGTGAGTTCTACGCATGCTTGGCAATTGTTGCAAAATATAAACAAAGTATTTGGAATTTCTCGTCGAAAATTTGCTACTTTTTTACACTGAAATCGATTGAAAACAACTAGAAATTCTGGAGGAAATATGTGCGAAAGCTTAGGATTGATAGGGATACAACTACCTGAAAAATACAAGGAGAACTTCGACGTTTCGAGCGAAGGCGCTTCGACTTGTGCTGTTAATGTTTGTATATATAGTACTTGACCTTTTATACTGTCGTACTTAACACTACGTATACCATAAATTCTGTCAGGAGAGTTAAATGTAAATTTTAAAGCATAAAAATATATAATACTCATTCTTGAGGATATTTATCAGTAAAGGTGAAGTACGATATATATAAACACTAACAGTACAAGTGACAAGTCGAAGCGCCTTCCCTCGAAACGTCGAAGTTCTCCTTGTATTTCTCAGGTTGTTGTATCCCTATCAATCCGAAGTTTTCGTACATATTTCCTCATAATTTTTAGTTGTTTTCAATCCGATTTCAGTGTAAAAAGTATCAAATTTTCGACGAGAAATTCCGAAATACTTTATTTATATTTTGCAACAATTGCTGAGCATGCGTAGAACTCACGTTGGAAATTCAACGTGAATCAATTCGATTTCTCCAGAGCTATGCCCACCCTTAACCTGCGAACGGGCATGCTCGGGGAACGAGATTGCCTTGCGGCCGTCAATTCAACCTCGTTCCCAGGGTCTTTCTTAGAATGGCACGAGAACGAGATTGCCGTTAATTAAACCAACGAGGTAGCCAAGATTATTGTACACATCATGCGTAGCTACGCTCACATCATGGCCAGGGTTTTTTTCAGGATTTTCTCTTGGGTCCGTTTTTGCAGAGAAGATTGAGTTTAGCTGAACAATAAATGTAGTTGAGACGGAATGTGTTAAAGCAGGGGCACTAAGGGACACTATAAACTGGTTAAAGATGGCGAATACATAGTTTTTCTTGTGTTGTGAGATGAATTCCAGCCATTTTTCTTAATTGTCGGGTTTCCAACTGAAAACTAATTTCCACACGTCACGAATTTAACTCAAACAACTTTATTTTTATTGCACTGAAACTTTGGTGAGAAGATTGAGTTTCAAAACTCAATTCAAGATTGAGTTTTTGGGGCCGTTTAACGGCCCTAAAAAATCCCTGAAAAAAACCCTGCATGGCATACCGTAATGTGCAGTAGGCATGCCGTCGTTCCGGCTCGTCCTTCATCGGCGAAATGTTCAACAGAAATCCTTGTTTGTTTTACCTCTTCGAACCAATTTACCCGGTAGAGAAAATCGCCGGTACGGGAAAATATTCACTGTTATAATTCACGATTTCTTAACAAAATTTAGCACTTTTAATTTTAGAATAAAGTTTAAAAGTTAGATCACTGTGAAGTGTCTCGTTTTAGTTTTAGTCTTAACAGCTTTATTGAACGATGTTCAAACCATAGATATCTTATATATACTAGATAGTGCATCTACTGATTATTCTGCAATTCAAAAATTGAAGCCGTGACATTGCAGTCTCAGGTCGTTCCCATGAAATGAGAAGATTCGTATGTTTTCTATTTCTTAAAGAAAACCGGGAACTTAAACATTAAGTTATCCCTATTCCAAATACGTTTTTAAACTATTCAAATAATAATGAAAGTTAGTGTTGTTTTTAAATTAATAAGCATTTATTTGCAAGTGAGAACGATCAACATGGCCGCCATCTATTCAAATGGGGGTAACCGCTGGCCATATTCTTGGCTTCAATTTTACTAAAAGAGATGCGCTATCTAGTGTATATATAAGATATCTATGTGTTCAAACGGCAAGAGTGCGAACGGGACTCGAAACCCATGCGAGGCACTCTCCCTCTTGAATTTTGTTTACATCTAATATCATTATTTACGACAATATTATAAATTGGTAAACATATACAAGCTGATTAATACCAAATTAGGACGGCTATTGCGCCAGATTCAAGTTATCATGCATAAAATACAGATTTGTATAATCATGTTAAAAATTTGAAAGCTGAATCAGGATAAAACAAAACCTGACACGAGGAGCTGGTATATGTTTACATCAGATTTAACTATTTCTATCGCATGAACAGCTACGATACAAAGACCACGTACAGCACATGTCAACATCAAAACTACTACGCAATAAATTGAAGTATGTTCTTGATAAGAAGGATTTAAACGTTGCCAAACTACGAAGATCTCCAGTAGAAGCAATTTTGCAAGTATGATTCCAGAGTGGAACAATACGATGACTGAAAATATTATATATGTTATCAATGTTATTAATTCTTATGTAACTGTATTGATAATATATTCCATGTATCGAGTTATGTCAATTGTCAACACGAAGTAAATCAGACGAAACAATTGTTTAATTTAACCAGAAAAAGAATTTTCACACATTGAGCAGCATTGTAGTGTGAAAACGTAAAACACTGCGCAACAGAACAGCGTTCACATGTTGCATTTGTGTGCACCACGAGTGTTCAATTTAGTTCAATAAAAATCTGGCACAGTGAAATTTCACCATCTATGGCACTGCAACGGCATAATGGAAATATTCGAACCAGTGGGTGCAAAGTTGAGCGACAATTCTGCGTGGCCGAAATTTAGGATAAAACAGCTTTTTAGTGAGTTGGACGTCGCTAAAAGTAACGACTCTCGCGAGGCCAGAATGTAACTATAGTTGCCGCTACTTTTCGTCAATTTTTGTAAGATGGGCGATTACCGATTACTTGGTATCGATACCACCCGATACCAGGCCCAAACAGGAAGTAGTCGATACTGCACGGTATCGAAAAAGTGTTTCGATTACTTTTAAAATTAGACATTCACTGATAATCCTGTAGTTGTGTCATCGTTTTCATGGTTATCTCTAATAAAATTTATGTACTTTTTTGTATTTTGCTGCATTTTAATATCAATTTAATCAAACTTTCTTTAAACTTTATCTTTATTTGACATTCTATCCTCGCCGACAGAATAAATTATGAAAAAGGCGGGAAATAAAGTAATTTTTGTTTTTTATGGATTAAAATGGCGGATCAAATCGTTACTGTTAAAAATATGTAATTTTCTGGAAATATATCGTTACTGTTACAGTAGAAGGCTACTTCTTTAACAGTTGCCTCTTTATTAAATGACTTACATTTATTATTTTGAAAATTGGAGGAAGTAATCGTTTGGGTAATCGATACCTCGATACTTTAATCAAAAAGTAATCGGTATCGTATCGAAACCGATACTGGTGGTATCGCCCATCACTATTTGTAACTAGTTGCAGGCAAGCGACGTCATAAATATGAAGTTTTCTTATGTGAACTAATTTTGGCGGGCATTTTGTCACATAGCGCTCGTGCAAGGAAGCAAAACACTTTAAAAATCTTATGTTTTGTCATATGTGTTGAAGATTACCACAAACTCATACAAACATAGTTTTTAATCCAGTTCGGCCTTGGGAAAGAAACTCACACACACACAACAGATTCATGCGAACACATCATTTTATATTTATGGCCAATTATTATGTCAGAAATTAAAGTTCTCTGTGAAATTATTTCATAATGGTGTGTAATTCAATGTAATATGTCAATTTCCATTTCATCGTCATCATCAACATTTATCGCCATCATTACATTGATTCATTCGCTGTATAGGTTTGTTTTAGACATCGAGATCACCTGAAGAAAATGAAATAGTTCAACAATAGTTCAATATGTGCTACACACGAAACAATCATTTTAATAAGTCAACTATCGACTTAATTAAGAAGGAATACAATAAAGCAACAGCGCAGAAAACCTGTTTGGTAGAGTCAAACTGGAAGCACTCTTCTCACATGTATTATGAAAACAAATAGTTAATGAAGTAACTTTAGTCTTATTTATTTGGTCTTGAAGCTATAAATTAAACTACAACTCTGTTACGTAGTAGTAATAGTTATAAAATCAGTTTTATCCAAATGTTCTTCTTATAGAAGTGCAGTAAGGATCATCTCTTATTGATCGAGTGTTACTACAGGAGGAAACCTAAACTGACCTTATTTCTACTGGATAGCTCTATCAGTTCTAAATTGTTCTCCCTGAGGCCAAGTGAGGATCAACTCACTTGAGATTCTTACTTAGTTCGAAGGTAAGGGCGATCAATACGTTAGAAGAGAAATTAAAATCACACTGCTACATACTGCACGAAAGTAACTCAGAGATCCCAAGGATAGTGCAAAGTTGATATGACAACGACCAGAAAGCACTAAGGGGTGTGCACACTATAAGGGGCCCATAAAGCAATGCCTGGCCCACATTCGACCCTTTATCGTGCATGGTCTATTATTATAGTCTGTACTGTATATACTACAGAATTTTTAATTGATTACTTTAGTATGCTGTTTACATTTCCACAAATATAATTTTACCACACATACTAACGGAACATAATGACAAATAGCATACAGTCAGTATACACTATAGTGTAGACTGCAGAAAATGTAACTGAAATTGGAGACTTGGCATATAATATGCAGAGGAAAATACAAAAGAAATAAATGTTTAATCAATGTTTGTAAATCGGATAAAGATTTGCCCTGATTTATACATAAACTTCAGCTTTGATTTTCTCGGCTTAGACAATGTTTATTTTTAAAAATTTTTCGCCAATGAATTTAAAAGATGATTCGCATCCGATCTTTATCTGATATTCAAAAACTCATTAATAATTCAGGAGCAAAATACAAAGAAAAATCATAAGCGTGTCGTGGTTTTATATGTGATAAAAAATCACGTTAATTTACATAAACTTTTATAGCTTTGATTTTCTCGGTTTAGACAAAGTTTATTTTAAAAATTACTTCGCCAATGAACTCGTATAAGATGAGTTGTTTTTGAGAACTATTTAAAGCACTTGTAGTCGTGTTTTATCACATATAAAACACTCCGCTACGCGTCGTGTTTTATATGTGATAAAACACTCCTATACGCGTGCTTTAAATAGTACTTCAAACTCTCGCCTTCGGCTCGAGTTTGTATATCAGGTAAAGATCGCCTGCTCATGTTTTAAACTAGTCCTAGGTGGAAAAGGTTGCTTTTAACTTTTCTAAAAATGGAAAAGATTTTACCTTAAACAAGTCTACCAAAATTTAAATAGTTGAGTGATATAACAAAGCAGGAAAACTTCGTCAATTGTCTCGAAAAATTTTATGTATATTATTAATACGTAATAAGATAGTTTCTCGTGAAAATTGGATAAAACAAACACTAGTGAGTTTTTCAGAGACCTCAACTCGTCCTTTGGACACGTGCTATTTTGACACTCTAAGGCTGGCAAATAAATCAAACTATACTTTAAAACTATCGAAAAATACTCAAAATATTTTAACAACTATGCAAAAATAATAACAAACTTGAATCTACGATATAGTTTTCAACTACATTCTTACAGCGAAATAAATAAATTCCTAAAACGAAAAAACACGATGTGTTTTTGGCAATTTGTTCAATGTTTATACAGTTAATGTCCAAGCATTCAGCATAATGATATATTTGCCAACCAGGCATATTTTTCAAGCTTGCCCGGTGTGGATGAACTTATGACCTGACCGCGTAGCTCAGTTGGAAGAGCATTAAAGCTTGCCCGGTGTGGATATACACTCAGAGTAACATCACAAACATCACATTCACCTGAGTACATAACACCAACACAAAAAAAATAACTTAAAACCTAGGATTTGAGGTCGATGACTATTGTGATATTGCTTCGCATGTGTAGAACACTCTTTTATAATTGCTTAAAATTGTAGCTTTTAAGAAAAATTAGAAGTATTTTCTGAAAGTTTGATAACGAAGAAAGGTTTTTCCTTGTTTACAATTTAATTACTTCTTCTTTCTAGTCGGATATTAACATTAATTTGTCTAATAAGATATAAAATATCTATCATTAAGTTGTCAATGTAGCTTGCCATGTTAATACTTTTAAAATAAAAACAGTATATATATGCTCATTGTTTTTATGGCATTTATCGCGATACTGCAAGTTTGATACAAAACAAGTGAATAGGTAACTTTTCCTACCTGCCGAAGAGGCGTCCTCCTTCTTCTGTAAAAATAAAAAAAAAACATTTTGTCAACAGATTCTAGCTGCCATTGCTCCATTATATCATGCACACTATAATCTGAACTAAACTAACTTTATTTATACTGGATAGCTCTATCAGTTAATTCTAAACTGTTCTCCCTGGAGGTCCAGTAACAATCATCTCTTATTGATCCAGTGTACTACTGGAGGAAACCTAAATCAAACTTTCAGTTCTGAACTGTTCTCCCTGGAGGTCCATTAAGGATCATCTCATATTGATCGAGTGTTACTACAGGAAGAAACCTAAATAGTTGATATTTATACTGGATATAGCTCTATCCGTCTCAAACTGTTCTCCTGACCCTAGAGTTCCAGCAAGGGTCATCACTTATCGATCCAGTGTTACTACTGAATAAAATCTAAAATAGACTAACTTTATTTATACTGGATAGCTCTATCAGTTCTAAACTGCTCTTCCAAGATGTCCAGTAAGAGTCATCTTTTATTGAACCAGTGTCACTACAGAGGAAACCTAAATTAACTTTATATTTATATTTATAGTTATACTGGATAGTTCTATCAGTTCTAAACTCTCCTTCCTAAAGGTCCAGTACGGGTCATCTCGTATTGATGCAGTGTTACTAGAGGTGGAAAGCTAGCTAAACTAACTTTATTTATACTGGATATTCCGATGCAGCGCTTTAACCACACGTTCTTGTATACATAGTGGGTGACGCCAGTGCGAGTCATGAGCTAATATCAAGATTTTGGGCATCTCGCTCGATAGTAGATGGCCTAGCTTCACAGGCGCTCCTGGTTAGGTCTGAAAATTGTAGATAATCTTCCGCTTGTGGTGATGATGATGATAATGATAATGATGATGATGATCGTCGCGATCATGATAATGATTGTGGTGATGATGATGGTGATAATGCTGGTGATGGTGCTGATAGTGATGATGATATGATGATGATAATGATGATGATGGTAATGATGATAATGATGATGATAATGATGATGAAAATGATGATAGCAATGACGACGATGATAATTGTGGCGATTGATCACTATAATGAGACACAAACCGTCTACCTGCGATATATGTATTGACATGCTGCTAAAGCAAAAAAGATCAGTAGCACACCAACACCAACACTGGCCCACAAAAAAACAGTACTTCCATCTGGCGTTTCGGTTCCATCATCTCTAACATCTCTAACTGAAAGAAAACAATTTTCAATTTTTCTTCCAACCTTTTCTTCCAACCTCTTTAACCATTGTTCCATAATAGAGAACCGGCCAACTTTTTGAAAGTTACACTCTGGTGGATTTTTTTGTTACAAGCAAGTATATTTACAGTATATGTTTAAAAACTCATTAAAAATTCATGAAGAGAATTAAAAAAAAAATGAATGTTTAATCAGCGTTTGTAAATCGGATAAAGATTTGTCCTGATTTACATAAACTTCAGCTTTGAATTTCTCGGCTTAGACATTGTCTATTTTTAAAATTACTTCGCCAATGAACTCATAATATGGGTCGTTTTTTAAGCCCGTTTTCGGCTCGAGTTTGTATATCAGATAAAGATCCGATGCGAATGTTTTAACTAGTACATGTCAGAGTATATGTATTAATAAAGTTGTGTTGGAACCTCTGATTTTGTTTTTATAGCTGAGAATTTTGAGAATTTTAAAATATTGCCTATATTAAAGTATACTAAGTTGACAAAATGTAAAATGTCAATTTTACTTTTTACCAAAATTAACTATGCCATCAGAAATGTCGTAAAAAAGTATATTATATATACGACATTAAAGCGAGTAGTGCGAATTTTCAAGTCGGTTTTGAGTTAAAGGAGCTCAGAAAAAAAGTTGGGGTCACCGAATTCGTTTTGAAGATATGACAAGTGCAATAGGTCACCTTTTGACCCATATGGCCCAATCTTGACCCTTTTACCAGTTACAGGAACAATCGCAATTGCTTATCCTTTATTAAATTTTTTAACAAGGATCCTACTAAAAATGTCTATCTAATGATTATATACAAGAAAACATGGTATATTAGCAAGTCAAAAACTATTGACGTGCATTCTCGTGGTGCAAAGATGTCTTTTCCCATCTTCTCAGGCATGTTATTTTGGGAAGCATGCGCAAAAAATGTATGACATGTAAAACGTATAGATGAGCAAAATACAAAAGTGGGGTCACGGACCTTCTTAAAGAGATACAAGAGTTAAACATGCAACATAATATGGTTTAGTGTTCGTTGCGCAAGGAGTCCTAGCCAGAGTTCTGTCATTTTTGCAGGTATATTTCCTGAAGCATGCCTAATCAACGCAGAGTGTTTTTCTCTTTGCCCTTATCCTTTATTCATCACTTTACATTGCAGTTCGACCACATACATTAGCTAGAATTTGTTATTAGATATGCGCAGTAAACGTGTGCAATGCAAAACTGATGAATCACCTTAAACGACTCAGAAGAAGACTCAAAATTAGACTTCTAAGCACTTAGACCTAACAAGGAGCCAAGCCCTCATAAAATATTTTTCTTCCTGGCAGCAGGCTTCCCAAACCAAAAATTTCCTGCCAATTTTTTTATAAATATGATTGGTTATAATTCAATAACAGCGTTGTAAATACTACCTTACTAAGTCATATACTACCTCAATATTAAGAAAAATATAGGTTTACTAACATGAAGGAATTCTATTAAATAATATTTGAATTTTGTTTGAATTTATATCAGTGTTCATGCACTATTCAATAATAGTAGTACGCCCTTGTTTTCCACATGTATCATAATCATGAATCATGATAACAGACAGTCATAGCACTGCCATATGATACAAATTTTTATGTTATGATTATTGTATTTATGCTCTAATTGTGATGTTTGTTACTTTAATGCTGATTTTTGAAATTTCTCGAGCTTCATTCTTGATATCTTGCTTTTCCTTAAAAATTTCCTGTGAGATTAAAAAAATTTCCTGGCAGCATGCTGCCATGCTGGCGGACTTTCTCATACATTGATTGCCAGGAGCCTTGCCAGGAGCAGTCTCCAAAAAGATTCTCTGCCCCCCCCCCTGAGATCGACTTACATTGAATTGGAATAACTTGAGCGTCACTGTAAGGGCTGCAACTTTCGTCGACATATATACACGCTCGCACTTGCACGTGATACTCGACATCACAGTCCAATCCAAAGATCACAGCACTCGTAAGGTTGGGCAAAAAAATCAGTTGTGGATCGGATTTCTTCTTAAAATATTTCACAGTCATATTCCTTATTATGCCATTCCTGCCATTGACGGGTGGAGGCTGTTATAAAATATAATAAGATAAATGAAAAGATTACTTAAGTGTGATTGCCTAAAAGAAGTGCAATTATTTTCGAAATATCATTCTAGACAATTTACTGATTGACTAAAGACTCTACCGAACACAGAAGGGGAGAGACCAAGGGGATATACCCCCACCGGGGATATACCCCCACCACCAACACCACAAAGTGGGGACTAAACCCCAACAACATTTCCAGTTCATTATTTATACACGCATGCATTATTCTGATTTTCCATTTGACATACAAGCCTCTAGTCCTGGACTAGGGTACATTTTGATTTACGTTGGACAAAGCTACCATTCGGTTGGACACCAATACACTCGGGTCGGACAAACAATAAACCTCAGTTTCACTTAGGTCGGACATAATGTCCGGTGGTTTCTCTTTACGTCGGACAATTCACAAATGGGTTGGACAAAGTCCGTGACAGACCGATATTTTAAAGCTTGAGTACAGTCATGTCTCATGCCAAGACATGTCAGACGTACATATATACCGTTACGTATACGGTTTTGAATACCTTGGGCACAGAGAAGAGATCTACAGAGAGAAAACTCGCGGCAAATTATGTCACGCCGATATATTAAGTCTATTAACTATATAAAATTATATTAATTCACTATTTTATTAAATTTTCATAATGCAGTGGAATAAAACTATACATATTATAGAAGTATTCATGTTATTTTTATGCAAGAGTTATAGTTTGAGGAATTTATATCATTCGTTGCTTTGTTATTTATACATGAGCATGTGAAATTCCCAGCCAGTGCATTTCACGATTTTAATAAGGAGTAGATAGAAAAAAAAACACTTTTGCAAAATAAAATGTTATGTTAACACTTAAATCAATAAAAGTGATCGCTTACCGTTATTCTACAATAATTTATTGAACAAATTTTCCATGGGTATCTCATTTTTTTAAAAAAAGTGATTTTCACCTTTCGAACGGCGTTTTCCCTATGCTTTTGCTATGAAATTTCAGCGACGGCACTGGCTGGGAAATTTTGCGTGGCGCGTGGAACGCGTGACACAAAAATCGAGGTTATCCAGTGTAAGTTTCCTCTCTGTATATCTCTCCTCTGTGCCTTGGGCTTGGTATAAAGGTCCTATGATACCAGCAAAATGCACGTACGCCGACAGCAAGAGTAGTAACGAAGAACCAGACCGTAAAATTGGCGTACCTCCAGTACGTAAGTACGCGATTTATCGCACCCATAGATATCTTATATACACTAGATAGTGCATCTAATTATTCTGTATTTCAAAAATTTGAAGCCGTGATTGCAAACTCAGGATATTCCCACGAAATAAGAAGACTCGTATATTTTCTATTTCTTAAACAGGGAACTTAAATATTAAGTTGAAACTATTCCAAATACATTTTCAAACTATTCAAATGATGAAAGTTATTGTTGTTTTTTAAGCGTTCATTAGCGAGTGGGAAACTCCAACATGGCCGCAATCTATTCAAATGGGGGTAACCGCTGGAATTGAAATTTTACTAAAAGAGATGCGCTATCTAGTGTATATAAGATATCTATGATCGCACCCCGAAACAGCTCATCTTTTATTCTTATCAGTTAGTAAAAGATGAGTTTTATCAAACTCATCTTTTACTTATCTTTCGTATTACACTTAGGCGAGACTTTTTTATTCATTGGTTTACGGATCCGTAAATATTCCGAAAGTGAAATATAAAATACAAAAATTTCGATGTCAACAATTTTACGATGTTAGTTAATTTTAGTTAATTTGGGGTTCTGACATGAAGTACACGCCAAGTAAATCTTGACTCTAAGTACCGCTGGCTCATGTTATCGTTGTGACAATAGTGGTGACAATCAATTTGGAGCCATGTTTTTCCAAGTTGAAGTTGAATGTTTAGATCGATTTTAAAGAGCCGAGACAAAATAATTTTTTTTTCAGAACAATCGACCAGTTTTTTTTAAGTCAAATCCGTAAACTAATAAATAAAATTACTATACATTTTAGTTGGTGAAAGCAATTTGATTGGCTAAGAGCTTACAGTTAAATCGCGCAATCACGCAACCTAGACAAAATTCAGTTATCTGCTAGCAGATAACCGAGTTATCTGCAACTGAGCCTGCGATGATTAGCAAGCGGTATCTATTTAACACAAACAAAGGGAAACTAGCAAAGCAAAATTTTGAACAAACGTAGAAAAAATGTGAATATGGATAGGTTTTCATAAATAAAGTTTTTCATGCGTTAATACTATGTTTATTATTATATATTCTTCAAATGTATTATAACACAATTATTGAATTCGGTTTTTGTGATATGCGGAATTATCAACGTGTCGGTAAGCGGTCGATAACGCTTGCCAGTTGCCTCGACCTTGATAATTCCGCATATCACAAAAACCTCATCCAATAATTGTTAAAAGCCTTGCCTTACCGTCCACACAACCGTGACACTTCGTTTGTTTTCAATGCAATCATCCACGCCACGAACTATTGGCTGTATTATTGGCCTGGAGGTTGGCACTGAAAAGACAAATAATACAGCACAGTCAAGTTAGGATTCGTACATATCAGAGAAAGTCAAATTCAAGGACTTTCAAGGACATTCAAGACCATGTATCAGCAAATTCAAGCACTAAATACTGAAAAGAAGTGTTGAATTTCAAACAGCTTTGTCACATACGAACGTACAACATCAATTCAACAAAATGTCCGTTTTTGAATGTCAAACAAGTTCCACAGAAAATATTTGCTGCCGAAGCACACTATTCTTGACGATTTGTTTTTCTCGCACCAGTCCATAGTCTCATCGCAAATGGACTCTGACTGTTTATCGAAATACTTTTCAACGTAAGATGAAAGTTTGATCACAAATAACAATGTGTTTTGGTCGATAAGCGTTGAAACTTGAAGCGAATGAATTAACTGTTTTTACATTATTACATTTTTTGGTGCATACAAGTAAGTCTTCATAGTAAACATGTGGACTTCGTAACTTAGTCGATATTTATCAGTTGGTAAAAAATCTGATTGAGCTTGATCGTAGGCTTCATGGAACATCGTACATTGACAATATCAATTGAGCAGTATCGTAAAATTGTCTGACGTGTACAAAGATATTCCTATTGGAGTATTGGCTATTGCAACCCAGTGTGGATTGTTGTCTGCACTTATTAACTTACCAGCAGGTACATGTAATAACATGTCAACTGACTTTTGTAAAAGTTATGACGGTCTGTAAAAATATATCTCTGAGATATGTCCATTGTTTAAATTATAGCATAATATGAAATAATCCTACCAGCCTATATATATATATATATACATATATATATATATATATATATATATATATATATATATATATATATATATATATATATATATATATATATATATATGTATATATATATATATATATATATATATATATATATATATATATATATATATATATATATATATATATATATATATATATATATATATATATATATTATACCTCACAATGAGCTTGTCCAATCAGAGAACTAAATTTGTACCACATGACCATGGTATTTTTCAGCGAATACTATGACCTAGGCAATTTGAACCCTGGGTGTTTTACCCGGGGCCATGGTATTCGACTTCGAATACCACGCTTGAGCGGGAAATTCGACTTTTAAATGTAAAGTTATCAAAAGTTGTGTTTTGAAATTAAAAGTTAATTGAATGGTATTTGTTTTCTACTTATTTTTGAAAGGTTCGGTATAATATACCATTTATAGACCTTTCACTCGGGGTATTCCACAAAAAATTAC